ATCCTAAAACATCCTTACTTAAAAAAAAGTATAAAAAGCTTAACACTAAACTTTACTTTAACTTAAGCTATTTTTAAACTTTAACCTAAATAAAATAAATTAGATAAATAATTAAATTATTACTAATAAGTATCTAAATAATAAATTTATCTAAGAAACCTTAGACCTGCTCTAAAACAGCGCTAGTTAGTTAAAAAAAGTAACACTAGCTAACTATAAAAACTAAAATAGTAAGCTATATTACTATAACTAACTTATAATCTTTAATTCTAATAAACTAAGAATTAAACTACTTTAAATTATACATAACTTGCCTGTTAGAGGACACTTAGGCAGAGAAAAGACTCTTAACCTACTATAAAGAGAGTACTACTAGCCTTGTATGTTCTATACTGTACGCTAATATGTATTATGTTGCTATACTTGCTGTAAAGTAAAAGCCTTTTAAAAAAAGTATAATAGCCTACTTAAACTACTCCTAATCTTTAAATAAGCTTAAAAAGACATATTAATTAATTTTATTATAAACCTACCTCTATTTAAAAAGTATATAAATATTATAGTAGTTGTTAATTACTTAACTAAGTATTAATACTTAATACTATGTTTCTCTATAACTGCCCTTAATATAGCCTAGTTATTCTACTAATACATATAAGTTTACTATAGCCTGCTTAACATAATTATATTAGATAGAGGTACGCAGTTTGTCTTAGCCTTCTAGAACAAACTTTATAAACAGCTTTAAATTATCTTCTATTTATCTACAGCTTTTTACCTAGAGACTAATAGCTAGACTAAGAATATAAACACTGTAATAAAATAAGTCTTATAAGTGTACATAAACTACTAGTAAGATAACTAAGTAAAATAGTTAGCTATAGCATAGTTTAAAGCTAATAACATAACATCTAAATTAATGTAAGTATCTCTGTTTTTAGTAAACTACAGATACTACTTTTAAATAAGATTTAAACTACTTTTAAATACTCTCTAACTAACTTATTAGTTTATATAAGTAATAGATGTAAATAGACTTATTAATAAAATCTAAAATATATCTAAATATGTTTATAAAAAGCTTATATAAGCTTAAGCTTTTTAATAAGAGTACATAAACTAATCTTAAACCTTTACCCTTATGTATGCAGCTAGCAAGAAGGTTTAGCTAGACACTAGAAATATTTAAATAAACTAATAATTAAAGAAACTTAATTAGAAGAACCTTAGCCCCTTTATAGTAGCCTATATAGTTTTATTGTACACTTACTAATTAATCCTACCTAACAGCATAAAGATACACCCTATGTTTTACATATTGTTGCTGCGCTAAGTAGCCTCTAAATCTAACTATTTACCTAGATAGCTAAACCTGCTACCTAAACCTATTATTATAAATAATAAACTAGAATATGTTATAGAAGACATTAAATAAATCTAGTTTAATAAGAAGAAATATATCTATAAATACTTTATAAAATAAACTAGATATAATAAACTGTTATAGGAACCTGCAGAAGCCTTGCAAGAGAACTCTGCAGTAACTTAATTTTACACTTAATACTTATCTAAACTAAACCTATACCCTAATAAAAACAACTTAATGCTAGAACTACTAATGTAAAGAATTCCTTTTCTAATAAGGGGGGGGGTACTGTTACAGTATCCTCTCTAGATCCTAGACATAACTATATTAGATGTGTACTAAAGTATTATTAGTGCATGTCTAACATAAATATAACATAACATAGACATAAACTTAAGCATAAACTGCTTTAACACTAACTAAACCTAAAACAGGCTTAATTTATACTTAAAGTGCTTAGACTTCTAAGCTAAGTATTTAATTACTAATTTCTTTCTAAACTTTTCTGTTCCTTACATAATGTCTTGTACCTACTATAATGCTTTACATAGTAATTAAACTAGACCTCTGTAAAGCTCTATAACCTTACTTGTGCACAATTGTGACACTAGATTAGAAAAAGCACTAAAAGAAATTCCCCTATCTATATAAGAATAAGAAGACAAAGAAATAGAATATAAGGTTAAACACATTATTAGTAATTAAAAAAACTAAAAGAAATTCTTAGTAAAATAGAAAGAGTAGCTTACTAGTAAAAACACATAGAAACTAGCTAAGAATTTAAGAAATGCGCAGCTGTTAGTACAAGAGTACCTTTAAGCTTATCTAAAAGAAACTAGCTAAGCAATAAAGCACCTATATTAAAAAAAACAGCTATGTTATTACTAGATAGTAGTAGCTTTTAGAGATAAGTCTTAGCTAATAAAGGTTAAAAAAGAGAACAGCCCTTTGCTTTAGCCTCTAGAGCTTCTATCTTATCTAAGAAAGAAAGGTCCTCTTTTAAGTACTTTATATAACAAGCCTCTAACAGGTTTAACAACTTTTAGATATAATTCTGTCTAGAACACTCCCTATTTATCACCCTTAGCATCTTCTTTTATAAACAAAGCTGTTCTTAGTCCTATGCCTGCTGCTCTTCTAGTAGAAGGCGCTTACAAGCTAGCTGCTCCTTTAATAAAGCACACTTATAAGCCTTTGTAACAAAGGCCTCTTAAAGAAGCGTCTTCTGTTTCTTTTTAAAACAATCCTATATAGTGTTAAAAATAAAAGTGTTACATTTACTATACTTTTTTACACACTTAACATAGTTATCTAAGGATAAAGTTAATATATAAGACAACCCTAAAGATTAGTAAGCGCTATAGGGCTTTATTTTTGTTTAGTAAAAAGAATTAAAATAAAGAGCAACACAAGGATAATAGAATAAATAGGACTAATAAGCTATTTAGTATAAAAAAAATAAATGTTAAGGACGCTTTCTAGTAGAAGGATACGCACTTTATAAATAAACCCTTACTAACACAGTTGTGTGAGCAGAGCGGCAAGGACGCCGCTAGAGAGGAGGGGCAGCGTGTTATAGTCTATGGTTGGACCAGCGTAACTCCACCAGCAGTGCTCCACAATCTAGCTAGATTAGGACAGGGCTTGCTTAAAAACTAGTTAGAGGACACAGAGGCAGCGCAGCTGCCTAAGGTTATAGAAGAATGCGTTGTCTAATAAAGAGGCGGGCCGCAAATCTAGGGAGCTTAAGGGAGCCTGCAGGAGTCTCCTTAGTAAGCTCTTATAAACTCCTACTAACTCCTCTTAGCGCCCTAGCACATGTATATAGTTCCTACATTAAACAACCTTTAGAAGGTGTGTTTAATGTTTAGTTTATTCTCTACATAGACTAAGTAGCATTTAGCTTTCTAAAGAGCTGTAATACTATTTGTATATCTTACACTATATATACCTTTAACCCTGTCTATTAGGACTGTTTAACCCTGGCCTCCCTACTGCCGCACATAGGGCAAACCACGATCCGGTCACCCTACCCTTCTCCAATAGCCCAATAGCCTGTACGCAGGACTGTACACCCTGCCGGATTGGCCCCTACCATCCGTCCTACCTCCCCAGGAATATCGTAAGACCCGAGTGCTTCCTGAAGCAAGGATTGTAACATTTATAAATAAGCTTTTACTAACACAGTTATATAAGCAGAGCAGTAAAGACGCTACTAGGGAGGAGGGGCAGCGTGTTACAGTCTATAGCTAGACTAACATAACCCTACTACTAGTACTCTATAATCTAGCTAGGTTAGGGTAGGGCTTGCTTACAGACTAATTAGAAGATGCAAAAGCAGCGCAGCTGCCTAAAATTATAAAAGAATGCATTATTTAATAAAAAGGCAGGCTGCAAGTTTAATAAGTTTAAGAAAGTTTATAAAGTAGTGCTTAGTAAGCTTACATAAACTTATCTAACTTATTCTTAGCATCCTAGAACATGTATATAGTTTTGTTTTTAAACAACTTTTAAAAGGTGTGTTTAATATTTAGTTTATTTCTTATATAGACTAAGTAGCATTCTAGCTTTCTAAAGAGCTGTAATACTATCTATATATCTTGCATTATATATACCTCTAATTCTGTCTAACAGGACTGTTTGACCCGGCCACTATACTGCCGCTATAGGGACAAACCACAATCTAGTCGCCCTACTTTACTCTATTAGCCCTATAGCCCTTACGTAGGACTGTACACCCTACCGTCGGCCCCTCCTACCCCGTCCTACCTCACCAGGAATAACACCAACCCGAGTGCTTCCACGAAGCAAGGATTGTAACACTTAGCTAGTAAGCAATCTGTGATTAATATCTGTTAAGGTTCACAGGGGCCCCTTAAGCTAGATGCAAAAGCTAAATGTGCAGTAGTGACTATAGTACTAGTTAGGAGCGCAACTCTAGGCTTAAAACTCTTGCATAAGCTAAGAAGAGGTTATATAGTAAGCAAATTAACAAGGTACTAAGATCTAAACAAAGTGGATTGCACAAGTGGATTATAAGGTCTAAGGAGCCCAATAGAGCTCTAGGCTGACTATATACTGCACGAGAAAGGAGCTATGCCTAATGAGTGAATAGTGCAGTACATGGGTATGATATCGCGTGAGACACGTGCGACAGAAGCTACTAGCTCACAATCGCAGCGCGAGTTCTGTTGTACATTATGGATTGCAATCATTAACCAGCACCAACATGCAAGCTCTTAATCGCGCTGTCACTTAACTATGCCACCTAGATGGAGTAATGTTTATTATCTAACGTCAAGTTTGCACGTGCTAAATCCGGATTATATAGCCAAACTTCAGAACATGCGCCGCTAAATCTCCCAATTTGAATTTAAGGCAGTATATAAGTGATCTGGATGTAAAGATTCTCTTGTTACTTGCGCTGTAAGCTCTCCAAATATGCTCGTCCACCTAAGCTCAACCTCGCCGCGCCTGAGTGCGCTCAAGAATGCTTCAATGACAGACTCTTCATCTCGTGGCTCTGATTCAAATTAACATCCACCCTTATATTCTTATCCTCCGCCATCTTGTGATAATTGGCACTGCCTGAGTGTAGAGGTAATTCCGATATACTTGAAGTAACACCGCGTTTGCCTGTTGAGAGCTTGCTGCCATCCTTAAAAGAACTGATTGAAGAAGTAATAGATTTGAACCATGACATAACCGCAGAGTTGGCGATCGAATCTCCAGCAGGGCGTAACAGTGGCATACACGCGAGTGTAGTGGCGAGTAAAGGTTCCATAGCAGTGAAGAGGTAGAGAGTACCAGATAGGTATGTGAAATCGGGATCAGCAAGGTCAACTTGTCCGAAAAAGACAAGTCGTGCGATGGAAATAGCGGATAATAATCAAGTGAAATCTACTCTCTAGTTAAGCTTTTTCCGGATTCGACCATGAGTTACGCAGGGGTGTAACGTGAGCTATGAGTAAGCAGCCTGAGCTGAGCATACCCGAACGAGCCCTGAGCCAGCGTGAGCCGGCGCGATTGTACATGATTAAATCCTGAGCTCCTTTGATCATGCCTAAGCTCCCTGTGATTGTGCCTTTCACTGGTCCTTTGGCTCCGTCGCTGAGAAGATTTCAATGTGCATCTTCCCTCTAACCTGTAGAGCCAGCTTTTCGGCAACATCCTCGTGCATGACAACCCATTGTGTAGCCTTGTTATTTCCAATCTTCAATACCTTATCTTTGTCAATCATTGTCTGGACTTCATTCGGTCGAATCTTTGCGATTTTCGGGGCGACACCGGAGCAGATATGGCCGAGCATGATATCGGTCTGCTCTGGTCCTGGCTTCCAGTACTTGGTGAACTTGCTGGGGATGTCCTATTCAAGTCTAATTAGTATTAAAACTAGATAGACAGAATCGCAGATGCCAACTTGCCTTACGTGGTAATCGTTTTTTGCACGCCCAAATATATTCTTTCCAGTTTGCAGAAAACCAAAGCTCTTCTTGACGGAGTGTTTGAAGAAAAGATCCTGGGACTTGTATTCGTATGATCACAACCTCGCCAGAACGTATACGACGAACTGCCCAGTCTCGGTACTTGACTACAGTCTCATACTCGGGAGTCCAGTACCAAGCATCGTCCACAGGGTTAAAGTCACCTCCACGATAACTTGAAATTGCCTGCATGTTGATCGAGCCATCCTCGGCAATGAACATGTGATAGTCGGACATTTCAGCGACGGCTTGAGCCTTGTAGAAGATTTTATGATCAGGAAGAATGGGTTCGGCAGCTCCAATGGATATATGCATCTGAGGAAGATGGCCGCTATCACTAGCAAGACTCATGGTTGCCACATGTTGCGCCAGGGCTGTAGGATCTGAGGAGGAAGAAGCTTCACCCGGAGGAGACTGGAAAGCGTCTTTAATACTAGCACGTTTCTGCTTCTTCTTGTGTGTACGATCTTTCACGTATGCTTTCAGCTGCTGTTGAATAGTCGCAATAGATCTGTAGTTGCCGCGGAAAGTTTCGTTAAGCCAGAATTGAAGCCTTTCCGTCTCGTAGATGTCCTTGAACCTGGGATCAAGAAGTACGCTGCGGAGCCAGGGAGCAATGCCGAGTCTTTGAAGAGCCTCAGCATCTGAATAGCCTTGCCAGGAAGTCTGGTTCAGTTGGGATGTATGGCCGTAAACATAGTCCAAGAGCTCATCTGGACATTGGTCGGGATCTGGGCGCGATTGCCAACGTTCGAAAATTTCCTTTGCAGTTGCAGGTTGTAGCCCAATATATTCCAACGCAGCTGCACTCTCTTGCTCGTCTGGAAAATCTGGAACGTCTTGATGAGGATGAGTATCGCAGTACCGGACGGACGCAGTACTCTTAGTTGACGAGGTAGTACCAGAAGCAGACGAACGTCCTGGGGATGGAGGAGTTAGAATAAAAGATGCTGAAATCTTACGCTTTCCAGCTTGAGGGCCGGGCAAGAGAACGCCATCTTCTTGCAGCGCACTCAGGTCTTCTGTGCTCAGAGAAGCTGCCATGACGACCTAGCAAAGGTGAACGATCCGCTACTTTGATCTGGATGAAAAATGATGTTTTGGTGAGTTTTAAGTCGTCTTCGAAGCTGGAGTGTCGGAAGCTGGAGTGTGATTGTGCTCGAAGATGGAGTATTTGGAACTGAAGTGTTTGAAGCAGAAGCGCTCGAAGCTGGTGTGTTCGAAGCTGGGAAAAGACCAGCTGAAGTATCTGTGTGGTGGGTTCTTATAGTCCGCATGAGTGTACCGTGGTTGCCGCTACTAAATATGACGAATGCTCGCACGGCCCTAGGCCTCGCACGATTTCTGGGCACCCCACGATTTAACCAAAAAACCTCCACAACTACGTACGCTTTATATATATTTATCAAAAGCTGGCTATAGGCTAGAAAATTGTGTAGAATAAGATATATCAATTAAATTCATCTAAAAATCGTTGTGGCCGCTTGATTTGCCGCCCTGAACGAGTTTCCGCAGGAGGTGCCTCCTCTACACTACTTTTAATACTACGATCGATCTGATCAATCTGATCAATATATATGCTCTCTTCTACCTTCTCTTTACCCTTCTTGGCCTCCTTCAGATCTTGTTGGAGTTGTTAATTGGCCTTACGAGCTACTCTCTCCTCCTCCTTCTAGCGGAGCCTCTCCTGCTTAGCCTCCATCTTTTCCTTATAAGTAATTGTTGCGTTTGCCAAAAGCTTAACCTCCCAGCTAGCACAGCAGAAGGATATATATAGACGGATAGCTGTATGCGACAGTAATTAATCTCAAACGTTGTCGCTCTTCTTTGATACGTATCTTTTCTTTCTTCTTCTCCTTACAGAGTATCTTAGTAGCCTCCTTTTAAGTCTTAGCCTCCTTTTTTGCCCTCTCTTTTTCAGCCTCCAGCTTACGAAGCTGACGAACCTTTTAAGGACTGTAAAATTTAGCTCTACCATGATAATTAGGTGGATTTGGAAATTTTAAAGTCTTCCCACGCTTTCTCTTCTTCTTATTATTAATTATTACTTCTCTGAGGCCCTTATTTTCTATTTCCGATAATATATATCGTGTTGAAGCTTGGTGGATACCTGTAATGAGCTTTTTAGCTAATTTTTAATTTAACTCTTTAACTACTTGATATACTATCTTCTTTACCTTTCTTAAATTAGCTTAAGAGAGAGATGAGTATTGAGAGTCGCTTGAAGAGGGCCTCTCCTCCTTCTTATTAAACTTTTACAGTATTTGATTTGGATTGAAAGGTATAAGACCAGTAGCCTTAAAGGCTGAAAGAATATTATTTTAAGTAAAAGAAGTCTTCTAGGCAGCGTTAAAAAGTCTATAGAGATCCCTCTTTGATATAGACGTAAGGCTGAAGGTTTTATTTATCTAACTTATAAGCTCGTTTGAGTACGCCGTAGCTAGTAGCTTAAAGAGAGCTACGTCGAGTGGTTGTAACGTATGAGTCGAGTAAGAAGGAAAGCGAGCTAGTAGTATACGATTTTAATCGTAGTAGTTGATAAATTTCATGGTTAGATGTGAGCCATGGCTATTAAAGATTAATAATCGATAACTTCTTCTTACTTTTACTTTGGTTTCTCGATTAAATATTGTTGTAAGCTACTTAAAGCCGAGATCGTCGTTAATCCAACCACTTGGAGAAGTAGAGAAGAACGTACTATGCGTATCTAGATCGAAATCTTAAAGCCAGCTATCTTATAAGTTACCTGGGAGGCCTTGATAGATAAGAGCTGGAGAGAGAGCTAATCCATCTCCACATACACATGCGATATAAGTGATCCACTCTCTATTCCCATCTTGAATAATCTGACGTATCTCGCCTCTCTCCTAGCTCTCCTTTAAAAATATCCTCTTCATGCGTGTAATTACACTAATTAGGAAGGCTTTCTCATCTATATTATACGTATGCCGTGGCTTAACGTCGAACTTCTTGAGTTTTTCGTCAAGGAGATCAAAATATTTATCTCAGCTAGCTCAGACAGCATGCCAAGAAGACACTAGTACACAAATAGTATAGATACTTTCAGACCCCTGCTAGGGCTTCTTCCTTCTTAGCTGCTGTCTAAGGGACTTTAGTGTAGCGCAACATGTGCAAAGCTTTGTCTATTAACTTACTAAAAACTTTTATATAAGATACTATTACACACAGCTTATTATAGCACCTATAATTAGAATTAATTACTTAAAGAGTATATATAATCTACTTTAGACTATTTTTAAGTAAATTTTTAACATTTTAACTATAAAAATTATAAGCTTAGCATTGTAGATGTTCTAATGTGTAACTATTTTTCTTAACTTTATTTTTTACTAGTCTATTTACTTATGTTTAACTATTAATAATAGCTAAAATTAACTAACTTATCTTAATTTAGCCTTTAAAACACGCTCTTTATTTTAAATAAAGTATACTAAGTTTAAAAGCTGCTGCATAAATTTAAAATAGTAATACATAGTATAAGTAAAATAGTCTTAATTTATAATTAAGTTAGTTAGTAAATATAAAATACTACCACAGTTTATAAATGATCTGTAAAAGCAAAGCTTGCTTAGAGCAATAGTTAGCACATTAAGGTAGGTGTAAGGCGGGATGTCCTAGAGCGGGATAGTATAGCCTCCCCTAGCCTGTTTAGAGGTCACATAACCTGTGCTTTGTATATAAGCATAAATCCTAATAAGCAAGGCTTAGCAGTAATTTATCTTTTTTATAATACACTTTTATTTTTCTTTAAAAGCTTGCTTTTAGTGCTATCTATGCTACCTACTATTCTATCTTTATAGTAGGTTATTTAGGTTAAAAAATGGTTTATAATAATTTTTATAAATTATTATATCTTAGGTTACTTAAAACTTATTTAATAGGTTTTTATATTAGCTTTAACTATAACTTAACTTTATTCTTTATAGTTACTTTTACTTTTTTAAGTATTTAGTTACACCTTTTTTCTTAGCTAGCTTAGTAGTTTTCTAATATCCTTTATATAAGGCCTATAGATGTTAATAGCATTCCTAGGTTCTAAGTCCCCACGCACTTCTATATGCCTTTAAGTAGATTTCTACTGCATTTAGACCTATTGTCTTGCCTGCGCTGTTACATAGTTGTAGCATAATGCTTAGCAAATTAGTATTAGACAGGTAATAGACACATAATAATAATATTTAACTAGTACATGTAAATAATTATAGCCTATAACTAAGTATAGCTAATACTAATCTCTAACACACTAATATAGCTAAAAAAATATAAAATAAATATAGCTAACTATAATTTAAATATATTTTATATAACATATACTAAAGTAAACTACATATAAATTAATATTAAAGTATACTTATATTAAGTATACTTTTTTGTAAAAAAAATATATATATAAAATATATAAACTAATAAAAAAAATTATAACTAACTAATTAGTGTGTTTTAAAAAAGATTTTACTTAACTTTATAGTTTATAAACTTAAATATATTAAGTATAGTAAGCTTTACTAATAACTTACTTTATTTTTTATAATACTATAAAGATAGTAAAATTATTACTATTTATATACTTTTTTACTTATTACACTTTTTATAGCTATTTAATATAGGTTATTTTACTTTTTAAAAAAAATATAAGCGCTTAGCTAAAAACTTTATACATAACTAAATTATATATTATAAAGTATACTTATAGGTAAAGTAATACTTAAAAGTAAATAATAGCTAGCTAATTTTTAGCTTTAATTAAGTTAGTAAAATTTCTTTTTTAAGAACTAAAGGTTTATATAAATTTAAGATTAGTTATTATCTAAATAAAAGTATTTAGATACGCTGTTAGGCGTTACATGTTATAGGCTTGTGTTATAGTTATATATATAAACAGATAAATATTTCTTT